ACCCACTTTCTTTAACATCCTACACCTCAACCTGTGCTCCTGACCCCAACCCACCTCTCTCCTTGCTTTGTTCCATCAGTCCTAACCTCCCTGTCCCTTTCCCCTCCCCCCCCTTACCCCGTCACTCAAAAACCATTCCTTCTCCACTAGCTCCCTCTCTTCTGTCTACATTTTCTCATGTGCCCACTCAACTACCCTCTGGAATTATACTCCTTGCCCCACCACCAGACTGCCCTTTGTAAATCAGTAATTTATTTTTTAATTATTTTTCCCACCATCATTTATCCCCCACACGCCTTTTTCCACCTCCACCCTCCCTCTTCCCTAGTATATCAATAATTTAAAGGAGTAAAAAAAAGTTGGTGTGGTCAAACTGAAGAGGGTGAGGGAAGAAGTGGTATGCTGAAAGGTAGGCAGGGGCCTTGAAAGCCATGTTAAGGGGTTTTTTATTTTCATATTCCAAGGAAGAGAAAGTCAGTGTGGGGTTTTACATACAGGAATGTTGCTCGCTGCCTGTATCCCAATGCCTGGGCACGGTGTTGGACATATAGTATGTATTCCATAACCTTTGATTAATTAATTAATTGGGATGATATGATCAGATTTTTGTTTTTAAAGGCATATCCTGGCTGCAATATGAAGAGTGGAATGAGGGTGTAGGGGGTGTTTAGGGAGAACACCTCGCAAGCTGTTGCAGTTATCCTTGCAAGAGATGGGGGTGGGCAAAATGTAAGTGGACACATAGACTTGGTGGTGGGAAACGGAGGGCATTCCTCTAACGGAATAGGGCTTCTGCTGAAAGCCAGACGGGGCAGTAGGGTAAGTTCTTATGGAGAGTGAGGCAACCATTGCGGAGTTGCCAGGCAGCGCTGAGGCCCCAGCTGAGGTTCAAACTAGAGTTTCAAGGCACCAAGCAGAATGATTGCACGATGTGGCTCACCAGGGTGCAGGCACGGGCAAGGTGGGCAGTGGAGTTCATCCCGAGTTGAGATATCGCCAGTCAGGGGCACCAGAAGGACAGTGGGACAAAGGAGTGAGTGACTGAAGTGACGCCCGGAATGCAAGATGGGCAGAGAGAAGTGAGGACAGGTGAGGCTGCCAGGAAGGGAGGAGACAGGGTTCTCCAGGGCGGAGAACTCCGCGAGGGTGAGGAAGTGTGGGGAGCCTGGAGCAGGCAGTAGTGGTCAGAGTGAGGTCTGACACCGTCCTTTCAGCAGAAGAGCAGTTTGGGATGCTGAGCTCAGGGGCGGCTATGGGAGTGGGTGGCAGCATGGCATGGAGCTGAGCGTCATAGAGATTAACAAGGTAAAAAATAAAATGGGGGCTGGGAGTGGATGCACATAACCTCCATCCCTCACAGCACACCTCCCGCCGCTCCTCTCCCAGAGCAGATACCTGAGGGGTGGTGGTGTTCCAAGTTGGGCTTCGGCGTTTCAGGCACGCAGAGGGGCTTCAGCGTGTCCCGCCAGCGGTTCAGTCTCTCCTCCACGTCCCTCCTCTGCGTCTCCTCACGTCTCAGGGCCTCCTTTGTCTCCTCCCAGCCGGCCAGCCAGTCCTGCGACTGCTTCCTGACGGCCTGGCAATCGCGCTGTTCCACCTGCAGCGCTTCCCGCGTCTGGGCCAGTTCCCTCCTGGAGCCCTGCAGCTCCCGCTCCTGCTGGCCCAGCTGCGCGCTCTGCAGGCGGAGCTGCAGCCTCAGGCTGCTGTTAGTGGCGTCCAGGGCCCGGCTCGTGTGCTGGAGCTGCTGAGACACCTGCAGATCTGCTGGCCAGAAGGAGAGACGTGGGTGCCCTGTGCCCTGGGACCCCGCACCAATCCTTCCCCTGTTGCTTGCGACATTCTGCACGCCAAGCTGGAATGGAAGCTCTGGCTGCCTGAAGTTTAAGGAGTGACTGGACTGGGCGAGGTTAATTTAGAGCAAGACCAGGCTGGAAACCAGACCCCAAGCTTAGGACGGGGTGGTGGTAACTCCGGCCCCTGCTGGGGGAGGGCAGCTGCTGGGGGAATGCGGGGAGTGGGAGATGGGAGCCATACTCACAGCGCACCCCCAGGGCGATGGCAGCCACCCCTAACAGCAGGCAGGTGAGGAGCAGGCCCAGAAGGAGGTATTTCCAGCAGGTTGGGCTGCCCTGGCCTTCGGGAGACAGTGGCACGAGGCACAGTGAGCCCAGGAACGAGTTTATAAACCGGGGAGTGTGGGGGGGGGGGGATATTCTTGGGAAAGAGCCTCGCTCAGAGGACGCGGGGCAGGCGCCGGGGTCGGTCGCGCAGTGAGTCCGCAGGGAGCGGGAAGGCGTCCGGAATACGGGCTGGAGGTGAGGAGGATGGAGGGCACCGCCTGGCAGGAGGCCCTGAACCCCAGGCCCGGCGGTCAGGGGTATGTGAATGGGGGCCATTCTAAGTGCGAGTGGGGAAAGGATCTGGGTCGACACCTCAGAAAGATGGGTGAAAGGGGCAGAGGAGGGGGGCGCGGGGCTGCCCGGGACCAGACCAGCACCCACCCCGGGCCCCCGCACC